TCGCTTCATGCAGAAACCCTCAAATACTCGGATTCCAGATGTCAGTCTCGTGCCGAATCAGCGCTAGAAACCATTGATACGGCCAAACATAAACTCCACACCCACTAAGACTCTCACGCTGAAGTGAGGAAGAGGATGGTAGAATGCCTTTGGAAGCTCTACGCTCTAGGGCTTTCGACGAATCTCCATCCCGACGGCGCCACCGGCCAATCTCGAGCCAATTGGCCATCCTGGGCCGGTATGAGGGATCCTGGTCTATGGATCAAGAACATGCTCCAGATCACTCATTGGTCTTGACGCCTGGGGCCGTATGCGGATCCTGATGCAACAGGTGAGTCAGAGTATTTACTCAGATGAAAAAATCAGATGGTGAGTAATAACCCCTGATTCACTGATTTTTTACTCTGGAGCGAGAAATCAGGATCATCGCGAGGACGTGTGGATCTCTGAGCTGATTCGAGAATCTAAAGTTGATTTTTTGGCTGATTAATACTCTTACTCAATATGCCTTGCTCATGAGGCTGATTTTTCGGGTGATTCCATTGAATCTGAGTATTTTCGAGAATCAGGGAATCAGAGTTTGAATCAGACATTTTTGACAAGACGAAGATTATAGTCGCTACGCCCCACAAGTTGTGGGCCACAACCGAAAGTGACAATTTCAAGAAAAGAAGAAAACGTCACTCTACGAGGGTAGAACCTGGTAGATTCGCCCCGAATGCATGCACATTTCCCGTTACGTTACAGCAATGATAAAATTTCGGAAGAAGATCTTTCGTCGCACTTGTACACATCCGTACTTCAAACTTTTCAATATGTTCACTCGGAATCAACTAACTCTGGGTTTCTAACTCAGAAGTTCTAAGAGGAAGCTCAGCCGCTGAGCCTCAGCGCTAGAGCTTCCTTCTAGAGCTTTTAGAGCTTCCTTTGAGAACCGGTAGCGTGATCGGTGTCGTTATCGGACAATCCCTCAAGAGGATCGACGAAGGGCATTTATTGTTTTTATGAACAATTAATTGAATTGAGGAATGCGTAGTTCACACCGTGTGGTTGCATGTACTACATGCGCTATACCTCCATACACCGTTTTATATCGTATGATCTCATAGCTGAACTGGTTAAGGTGATACCTTCCTGTGCTCGAGGCCGGGGTTCTATTCCCGGGCAGTGTCATACTGATACCCTGTATGTACTACGTGCACTATACCTCCTTGCACTGTCTTGTATCGTATAATCTCGTAGCTCAACTGGTTAAGGATATGCTTTCACTCGGTCGAAGCCGAGGTTCTATCCCCCGGTACGGTCATTGTAAGAACCTACTCGCAAGGAGCTGAGAAGGTCTACCGTGGCGCGCGCTGAAGTCGTGAATCAAGGTCGAGAATCAGAATCAGGGTTTGGTACCGGGGGTCCGGACCCCCGGTACAGAATCAAGATTAATCCCCGTGTTAAACTGTGAGCTTGTGCATCATGAGTATGATGCCGGATCATGCTCAAGGTGAGATTGCGATCTTGAATCTGAGCAGCTTTGAGGTTGAGTAGAAGAATCTCGACTCCTGAGAATTAATCTCGAATCACGAGTAAAAATCCCAACTCTGAGTATTCAATCTCGAGTTGATGAAATACTCTGACTCAGTACCAAAAACTCTGAATCAGCCATTGAGTATAGATTTGAATCTTGAATCGTGATTAAGGATCAGGAATCGGATTCAGCGGCTGATTAAAATCAAGGATCAAGGATCTTGCTCATGATTACGTAATCTGACTCTGTCTCAAGTACTCGTACTCAGAAATCTCGACTCTTTCTCCTGAGCAATGAATCTGAATCAGTTCTCTCGAATCAAGGTGTGACTTGAATCCTGAATCAGGATCAGAGCGTGAGTTGAATCATGGACTCAGATTCATGAATCAGGATCCGCATACGGCCCCTGATCCAGGATGATCCGAGATGCGCGAGTTAGATCTGTGATTCTTGATGTCGATCCGTGATCTTCGAGACAAAGACCTTGACCCTGATCCCTCACTGTTGATCCTGATCCCTTAACTTTGATACTGATTCTCCATCTGTGATCTATACTCGTTCTTGATCCTGATTCTATGATTCTTGAAAGCTTGATCCGCGATCCAAAGATCAAGGAGTTGAGAAATTCTCAGACGTCTTGGGAAATTACGTTGATCCGTGATCCGTTTTGTCCTGAGGGATCATCCTCTGATCCGGCTCAAGCATGAAATCAAGCTCTTGATCCATCAAAAGGGTCATTGTACGGATCAGTGGTACTTTTCGTGTTGAAATACGGTGATCCTGTAAGGGGGCTCTTGTGCTACGCTGCACTACTCATGGTCCTGATCCCTTCCAAATGCTACATACTCTGTGGTACAGAGACTTACTTCCAAGTTTATATTGAGTCTCAGTGATTGGGGAGATTCATGAAGTCGTACGCAGCATCTGTACTATGTACGAGGTACATGCGAGGGATGGTATTCGACACGATGACCGTTTGCGAAACCTACTCAAAGGCTACACTCTCAGCCAAAAAACTCATTAGTGTATGTTTACTACCACTTTAAGCCACTACTAACACCCAATATTGCCTCTCCATAACTTCCGGGTTTCATTCTGGTTTCAAGCCCACTCGGTTGCTCGAAGCAATATGTCGCAGTAACCAAGCAACTTGTTACGGAGTTAACTGGTAGATCGGATGAGCGGGTCATCCGGGTTGGATTCTTGGTTGACGCTCTTTGTTGACTCGCTCCTGCGCGATACTTTATCGTGCGTCTCACTAGCCGTATAAGTGATCGGATCGCTTATGATGTATCAACTTCCCGGCTGATTCATGACCCAGGACCCCGATCTAAAACTGACCTGATCATGGGTGTTGTGATCTACGGAACACCAGAATGCTCTATGATCCTGTCTCTTGATCGCAATTTGGTTGATCTGAGCAAAAAGACAAAAGCAAGAGCACAAAATCACCACCTTGATCTAAAGACGTGATTTTTTCCTCGGGATCGCGCATCAGGACCCGCATACCGACCCTGGCCGAACTGGTGGCTCGACCCGAACCATATCAAAAATCCAAGTTGTTGTAGTGGGACCTAGTTTCCATCAATACGGATGTTTGTCATGATACACGGTGTATCATACACCTGATTGCGTGTCTCTGCATAGATCATCCATCCGTTGTCGGCTTAAACTAGTTAACACAACAAACTTGGTGTTACACGCAGCTCAAACAACCTGCCAATCATGCGTTCGCTAAATAGCTGAAGAAACGCATAAGGTTCGTCGTACTTTCTACTATACAACTAAGAGAGGAGCTTGTCAGACTTCCACCAGATTCGACCATGCATACAACTAGATATATGCATTCTTACGACTAGTAGACATTCATTCACACTGGTCGCTAAATCCGCATAGTTACCAATTATAACGAAATCGGAGGGCCAAGCCTGAGAGATACAAGTCAGTTCGCTGGTAGGCTCTCTCACCCTCAGCGCCACACATTCGGATGCACGGCTAGACACTCGGGAATGGATAGACAGAAGCTCCAGTGCACTCCACAACATGGTGCAACGGAACCTGAAAGAAAAGGATTAAGATCGGAGCAACTTGTGCGTATCCAGACATACCATCTGATGCCTCAACCTGCCATCGTGTAGGAGGTGTACATCGAAGCGTCGAGGCGGCTTAGTGCCACTGGCTAAGTCGGAAGCGAATGCTGAACAGAACCATGTGTATAGCCTAGCCGTCATCAGGGCTGAAAAACGCGCTAAAAGACATACGTTCCGCATCAGCTATCTCCTCAAGATTAGCAAGAGTTTGACGGATCTCGTCCCTCAACATATAAATATTCGGCTGGGTCATAAACCGCACAGCCTTGCCTGATCAACGTGGGAAGATGAACTATACATGAAGCGAGTAAAAGCTTACATGTACACATTGGGAAGATATCGCGAAGCTCCATTACGGCAGTTCTCTCAGCAAATCCGTCACCTATCGATACAATACCTGAATATAACGAATAATGGGTTCTATGAGAAACATGTGGCTCACAGTCAAAGTCCATTTTATAAGCACATGCCATTTCTTGAAACTTGAACGTCTTCCACGAGCTGGCCATACAAGTAGCAGCCTGGGCAGATAGCTGCAAATGACAACACCCAAGAAGTTAACCATGACTTCTATCGTCTACTCCTACGTTATCGGGCAGTTGTGGTCTTGCTGATACACAGGGTATCGTCTCCAAAACAGGTATGAGACGGGGTAGATAGTGCCTGGCAGTGAACGGGATCCAATTCACTGATGAGTTAGTAACGATCGCTGTGGAACCTGAGAGAATCCACCATGATGGCTAACTGGATGCGATTCAAGGACCTTACCCAAATCACAGCACTTCAGGAGCAAATCAAGCGCGTAATCTTCGATCATAGAGAGGTCTCGGCGGACTGAACTCGGTAATTTTACACCTGTGGTTCTTTAAATATCAATACAGAAGACGTAATTCCTGAACACTTACTTCCTCCTTGCCTGGCGACAATTTGCTCCATCTGGGCGATGGAGTTGGTTAAGTACTTACATCCACCTAAGCGCTGAGATATAGACCCAACTTGAATCTACCAGTTGTAGTACGAAGCCAAGTCGTGGGTAGAATAGTGTCGTCCCAGTCGATGAAGAAGAGCAGTTGACGACCGCGACCTGCAAACAAACGACATACAACAAAATGAACGGGAAGAACAGCTCACCCGCACCAACGTCGCCTGCTGATATCCTCGGGGAGAGTTGTGGACCTGAAAAGAAGGTCACTATGAATGATAAGCTTCAGGACAGAGACAGACTTGAGCTGCTTCTGAGTATAGGCTTCAGATGGGACACGATCCCCCCAGCATCCTCCTCATTGTCAACATCGTCTCGATCTAATATCTATAAGGAGAGCTCACACACTGATAATAGGGCAGATGAAATTACCTTCGTCCCTGTAATATATGCTTCAGGGAGGTAGTCAGTCGAGAGAGGCACTACATTGGACGTAGACGGCCCTTGCTCAGGTGTAGAGGTGGCTGTGTTGCTCATGGACTTCTTGGAAGCCGTTACCGAGATCTTCAGAGGGCGGCGACCAAACATGCCTAGTAGAATGAGAAGATTAAAGTCTGATGCGTAGTAGTATAGATCTAAGAAGAGATCAATGTGATGTATGCTGTGATGTACAGTGAACAAGCCTGAGAGCAGCATCTTGCCAGAACCCGTTTCACGATGCGCATGTAAAAAGCGCTCGCCTCCAGAATTGTGCGCCGCTTCGCTGTTGAGGAAATGTTGATGGTGGGTGTGCGTTGCAAAGTGATGATGGCAGATGATTCCACAAATATGTCTGATATCAGCTGTAATAGCAGCACTGCCGTTGGAAGTGGAGTCAAATGAGAAGAGTCTATCGGGGGGAATGTCTTCAAGGGTACGTCTCCTTGACAACAGAAGCACTGTTTATTGCGTTGAATTCAGCAATTCCTGGGATCTAGCAACTACGCATGTGATCATCATACTGATGTTTGCTCGATAGCAGTACAAGGTGTTGGTATGAGGGCTTCAGATTCCCTCATGGCATACGGCCATGATAGTATACCAAAGGCTGCGTAATGACAATAATTACTTGCATTATGTGTTGTATTATTATTCAACTTTAGATCATCTAATACGATACGTGTACCTGATAGTAATCGACTTATTGGTGGTACACAGCAGTTAGATATGCCTGGCGAGGAATGGGTAGTAATAATATGCCTGTTCGAGTCATCTAGGCTTATTGTCTATATTAGGTCTTTACAATCGATATCAATTCTCTAGACCCTGGTCGATACGATCTTTATGTCTTCACAGCCAGCGATGAGATATATCTTGGTGTATTAGTTGTTGTTGATCTTGGTAAGCCTGTTACTTCTGTCTTACTGAGCCATCTTAATATCATCAGGCATGGACTCGGGCACAGGGGATACAACTACACCAATTCCAACTACTATGGTATGCGTGTATTATATAAGAAAATGATATTCAATTTCTGTACAGGCTTTCACTACTGGTGTTTTAATCCCTATTATCCCTACTACAGGGACTATAGAGGATTCTGATGGTAGCAACTCTATTGCAATATATGTTGGACTTATAGGAGGCCTCAGTGGTGGTTTATTGGGAATCGTTTGTATTCTCATTGCTGCTTGCGCGGTAGTAATAATATTACTCTCAAGACATCTTTATTTTATCATTGTTGTTCAGTATTGTGGCTGGTCTGCTAGACGTAAAGGTTTCAAAGAGCTCAAGGATATAGAGTCTTATTATAGCCGAGATGATGGTCGTTGTGATAATGATGATTCGGCTAGCATCATTAGTCGACACATTAATGCTTTACATCATATCACATCTAGTAATGGAGTAGATATTCATCAAGACAGCAACGACGACGACATTCATTCGGAACTTTCTCTCCTGTAGGCATAACAGGCTTGAACAATAATAGCATGTTTACTATTGTTGCTGGCGATCAACTCAGATCTTTGGATCCCCTTTGCCATCTTGCAGCTACTACCACTGGTGGAATGCCACATGATGAAGAGGGAGTTCGTCGGGGAGCAATAGTAGGGGGAGGGGATTAGATAATGATGACCATAATAACTTATATTCAGCCTGGTGAGCCTATCGCCCCGGCACCATCTATAAGAAGGAATGGTAACTTTCCAATATCATCACCAAGTGTCATTTCCTCCTCATTGGGGGAATCAACACTGTGTTCAACAACACAGGGTGTGGATAATGCACAAGTGGGAGCAGCATTACGGCTCGCAGCACGTATGGCTTTAGCAGTAGATATGGTAACATACTCCACCATCACCATCCCCACTACTACCACTTGCCTGTATTAGGTTCGTAATAGCGCTTCTACTAGATCATCACGTGAATCAATATCGCCATCTCATAGTTGGCAGCGTCGTAGATCTCCTGAATATGGCAGCGTTCGTTTGCCCTCTTCACAGAGCGGCAATCGTAATGATTATTCATTAGATAGAACAGCAACAACGACGACGATAGCGACAACCTCGATGATGACTACTAGTAATTCTAGAGCGAACTATTACAATAATCCTTTTGCTGGATGATCATGATGTCTCTGCTGGCCATAGAACAGTATGTGGCATACTGGCAAGTAGACTACTACTACTACTAGCTGCTGTCAGCAACAGCAGCAACTACTAGTACGGTTTAGACCCGTGATGATATAAATTATTTTTACTTGTCATACGGTATGACTCATACCCAATTACTGACAGGACATTTTTGCTATTATCATTCCTGCGTACGACTTTATGTCGATGATTACAATAATCATGATTATGATTATCGTCATGATACTACTATCCTAAGTCATGCATTTGTAACTGTAACGCTGCTACTATCGTGTCTGAACATGAAGGTGGTGGTACTACTAGTAGCCTTCAATATCATCAGCCGATCATCTTGAGCCTTGTCAATACATCCTACTACTACTACTACCAGTACTCAAACTGTACTTAATGGTAAACACTACACCAGAATACCAGTTGGATAGCACATGATCAGAAACGAGAAGAAATCTCATGCATATTTTGTAATCCCCTTGTGTTTTCTGATGTAGTCATTATCATTAGTCTTTGTGCTCTTTCTTCTTTTTTGTGTCATCATTTTTATTTTACTATAAGTTCGGCAACAACAATAACAACAGCGCTGATGGTGGTGGTCGTGGTGGTTGTAGTCATCTTTTTGTTGCTGCTTACTCATGTCACATTCATAAGTACCAACTTGAATCCACTACTGTGTCGTTATCACTTACTAGAAGTCATCAATACTACTGCAGCTTCTAACAATGATGACACATTAGGTAACCATTCCCTTTCTGTTGACAAACAACAACAACTACGACGTCGTCTCATATGAGGACTATTCCTTGTTGCGAGAATGAGGGGAATACTGCATGTACTGTAGTTCTACTTACATTCTTCCTGCTCCTGCTCCTGCTCCTGCTGCTGCTGCCCTTCAATAGTTACTACCGTTGTTATTAACAACATATGACGACTAAAAGGACGATGATGATAAACTCTCTTTCAACATTGATTCGTGTTGATTTGTCTGATATGAAAGAGGTATGGTATACGGATTTATCCAGTAATGTATATTAAAAAATCGTTAAGGTGGATATAAACCAAGATATGGTATAACAAGCGTCTACTAGTTCATGATGATGATTATGAATCCCCAAACTGTGGTAAGGTCCCCGAGAATATTTAGCGCTGTGATGTGTGCACGTATACTAAGTACTTTCTATGGAGCATGTCAGACGAGAGTTCATTTTATGCTGCTGCTGCTGGTGCTGCTGAAATAGGTCCATGTTCAGGAAGAGGCTAATCAATCATGTTGATCGAGGGTGATTCATGATTTGTATGAGGAATTAAACTCATTTGGAGATGTTTATCCTCATCCATCATAGATGGGATATATACCCCAATAAGATAATGATATTGATGCACGGATTACTCAACACACATAATGCAGGAAACTGTCCATGCTCCTGCTACTCGTCTTACTAGTCCTGTTGATAATATATGGGTAGTAGAAGTCTAGAGATCAGGTTGATATTGAGTTAGATTATATCTACACTAGATGAAATGAGATTAGGAGGCTATGGGATATACCTACGCCGCCTTATTCTTGCTTATATGAGATTTTAGATGATCATATCTGAGATAATCATCCAGTATTGATGACGATGATGTTGTTGTTGATGATATTACTGTTCTCGAAGATTCCATGGCATGTTATCATATACATCATTAAACATATCTATGATAGGAGCCTTCTTATGCTTAGCCGATACCTTTTATTAAGCATAATAATAATCATCTAGGGATGCTGCATATTAATCAAACCTTGAGACAATCCAACACCTCTGCACGGTATTTTTTACCGAGATTGAGGAACTCCTCTTTAGTAATGAGGCCCATATTAACGAGTAGATTATAGTATCTGGATATCAGGTATAAGTAGTATTATATATATAATAGTAATAATAACCTGCTGATAGGGTCTATACCATCCAATAGCCAACTTTGCACCTCAGCATCAGGTCGATACCTGATACCACCTATCATACTACTTTCTACTGATGACCCCACCTTGATGAATCATCTGACGTTGAATGATGGCCTCTACGATAAGTCATTAGCTCCAACAGCACTGGGCCTTCCCCACCTAGTAGGACCTCATCCACCAAAGTCAATAAACGTGGTTACTAATGGTGATCTCTCGTGCCCTTTTAGTTGCCTCATATACAGCGATGACATCATTACCATCAACTCTAAGGCTATGTATACCATATGCAATACCTCGTATAGCTATACCATCACCAGTATATTGCTCTGATACTGGTGTACCTATCATTGTAATAGAGGGTATTAATAGTAGTAGATGAGGAGGAGTAGGAGTCATTACTTATAGCATATCCATTATTACGGCATACAAAGATAGTCTGACTCTTCATTAAACTTGCAAAATTAATAGCTGTGGCGAAATCCCCTTCAGAGGCAGCACCATCTCCAAAGAAAGTCACTGCACATCGATCAGCATTACTGATTATTATATTATCACTAATAAGTTGATATATATCTATTATTACTCAAGCTTAAAACTGTATCCAGCACCAGAGGCATGTGGTATGTTAACTCCTAATGGTGATGATACTGCCTGTATATTACCCTATACAGCAACAACATCACAATGATGATGATGACTAGGATGTATACTTACCTCAGGATAGCAGTAATGGACAGGCATTTGTCTACCTTTACCTTGGTCGTACATAGTACTCATACATTGATCTGTAACCTATTAAAAGTAGTCATATTATTACCATTACTAAACCTGTAGTACTTGTTGAGTGGTAAAGCCACGATAAAGGAATACGCCTAATTCCCTATACTGTGGCCATATCATATCCTGTTCTTTGAGGGCAGCAACAACTCCTGTTATGAAGCAATAGAAACGAGCAATATAACAACAGTTATTTACCAATCTGTGTAGCCTCTTCACCGAAGTTGGTCATATAAAAGGTAATCCTACCTTGCCTTTGTACATCATATAGTACTTGATCGTATGCATTAATCTAGAATAATACCATCCATGATTATAGTAAGAACAACAACAAGAACAACCTCTCTAACCTCCCCTACTACCCGTATCATAATATCCAATATATGTAGAGCCTGATCGTTGGTAAATGGTAGAGTACCATTGCATACCAAATTACTTTGCTCATCCAAACGTCTATATATAGGTAGGGGCTCCACGTGTGTAAGAAAGGTTATATCATTAGTCCACTGAGACACGCATCATTACTATCTCCTACCCTTTTACATCATCATTACCTTTGTAGCCTTAATGCCAGGGAAGAGAGTCTGTCTTTTTTCTTTTGCGTCCATTGATACTACCATTCCACGTGTTGATAATAATGTTAGTACACGTGGTACATGACGAGTATACATTCGATGGCTTAACATTCTCAACAAGAAGAAGAACAACAACAAGGAGAAGAAGATACCGTATCTTCTCCGCAGGAACCCAAAGCCCAAGCATGTGAGTGCTAATCCCTTCACCAATGCGGTAAGAACTTACCCTGGTTAAGAACGTTTTCAAGTACCGCAGGGCGAATTGGTGTCACTAAATTTAGCGACAACAAATAGTGATCTGGGATACCAAGTTTAGCGTCTGGACATCACCTACGACGACGACAATAGAAATAGACTAACTTGCATCCTTTCCTACTCTTACATTTCTCTAATACTTCCAGTGCTCATTGCAGCAGGTTGGTTATTGTTATCATTACTACTATCAATGGGGTTCTGCCGAGATACTTCCTTCTTATGCTGCTTCCCTGCACGTTGGGGTACTTTCCTTACTACTATCATTGAACTTATTGTATGTATTGGTATGGCTATAGTACCTAATATGGTCATTTATGCTACTACTTTCAATATACAATGTGGTGATAAGTATACTCTTACTGATACACAAGTATCACAGCTAACTCATGATTTCAGAGATCAACTTAAAAGTAGAATATCTACTACGACAATCGAACAAATCCATATCGCTTACTATGTTACATTGGCCTTTATAGCTCTAGGTGCACTTATCGGTCTTATTGGTTTGGCTTGTCGTAGTCCCTTTATGGTAAAGACCTATGCTATGTTTGATGGTATAAGTATCATTGGTATCATAGCCTTAGCCTGTATCTATGTATACCCTAATATATCTGCTATGGCAGCTTCGACTGACTATATCTACTACAAGGATTTACCACAGATAACAGGCCAAGCAAGTGAGGAGCTTGGGATATCAATAACGACTGTATCATGGATAGCAATAACAGCTTTCCTAATCATACTCTCTATTATTCGTATATGGTTTATATCAGTAGCATCTGATGCAGCACGAGAGGTTAGGGAGAATAACAAGTATATGATGGATTACAATCAACCTTTACTAGGCAACGACAATAATAGTAGAGGTCGAGTTGTTGTGGTATGAAGAAGAGGAGATGATGATATCTTAGTCTTAGGAATATACTAAACATTTTCCACATTTATGTAATATCTTCATGTTGTGTTATAAGTAACATATATTCGATACAATTCCAGGAGACACAACGGCCATGTTAGGATGTCACAATTCATGCACATATCATAACACTACTACTATACTCAACAGTATCCTCCTTGAAACATTCGGTATATTTATGGTCATTTTATTTGTGGTACTTCTTGTATAAGCTCTGCATACCATATACTACTAGAGGTATGAGTAGTTATTATGAATACGAGGAGCGTGGGGTATATATAACCAATAGGCTAGGTCAATCTAGGGCTTGTAAGGTTAGGCCCTCCTGCTCTTATTCACTAGGCTATTTCACCATCATGCATCGTGTATTACAACACAACACTGCGTAATGAGGGAAGACTGTAGTGATAGTGAGAAGCTATAATAATGATGGACGCTTGGATTGAGCTTATGATACACCATAGCTAGATTGAATTATGGTTGGGGGAGTTCGGCATCGGTGATGGAAGTGTGATAGATTGCATAGGATCGTGCATAGAAGAATGGCAATAACCCATAGTAGGAAAGGGGAGGAATGAAGGTTACTCGCCAATGGCGAGTCGCCATGTCTATTCATACTCAATCATCGATTCCAGCTGAGCTCACAATGTTACCAATAGAGTAGGAGGCTACACTTCAAAGGCATAGCAAAGGCTTGCGGTACATATGAGATTCCTAGAGGCAAGGAGGTTGCTGTCGGACGGCGGCGGCGGCAATATGTATACTAAGGCATTCTTCCTCAATAATAGTCAGTATATAGCAACATCACGTTAGGTGTATAGTATCAGAGAAGGATCAGTTGGTGACCGCTCTATTGCGGATTGATTTTGGTGACAACTATTAGATACTAGCATTGGCAACAGATTGAGACATGCCCACATGTTTCCAGAGAAATACCGTAGAGGTCTAGTTAGATTAAAAGACACATACTATACATTGTGTACTAAGTATTCTTCGATTCTATCACGTTTGCTGCCTACTCAAAGAGGAGTTACTATTCTCCGAATAGGCGTGGTATAATGATGATGATGATGCTCACTGTTCCCTAGACGTAACTGATACAGTTACTTAGGAGTACTCATATCCTAATATCTATATAGATAACTACAAAGTCTGTGATAGAGAAAGGTAAGAGAAGTAGGTAGTAGCCTAGTATAGTAGGCTACTTACATATCATTAAACAACAACGCCTGTATTATATCCTCATGATAGTATCTAGTAGGAGGGAGGATACTAACACTATAAAGGACACTATAATTACTCTCTAACCATAAAAGGTAGGAATATCGCGTTGGTGGTGGTACATCTATAGAGGACCTTGTAGCCATGATGATGATGATAGTAATCGAGTATCCTAGAGTACGTGTATACGTTCAACACTACTATGATGAGTGTAGTATTACTAGATATATCATACACGACTAGAAACGAATTAATGATTAGGAGAAGGTTGTAGGGTTGTTGTTGTTGTTGTGGTGTTTTACGCCAGGTTGGATTAGTCTGACGCCGACCCTCCCCTACTATCAGCCTTAGTCTTCGAGGGCACCTCTCTAAGATGTAGGGACAAAGCTACGAGCTACGCCGCCGCCTAACCCTCTCAAGGGCATACTTATCCACAATTCTAGAGTCACTAATGGCCAATTACGGAAAAGTAGCATCCCTTTTGATCCAGCTAGGTGTATAATTCGATCTAGCCTCATTTGTACAGAAGAAGGCAGCGTGTTTCACATTATCAGAGATGGGCCATCTTATTGCCCTCTGTGACCAGCAATCACAGCTCACACATTGAGCATCCTCAACAGCTCTAACAGAGTGTAGCAAATCTGACGTCCTCATCATCATCATCCAGTGTAGGGCCTCTATGCATGATGATAGAGCTTGATAGAGCCACCACCAACCTCACTCCTCTAGAAGCCGCCACATGGTATTCCTCTTTTATATAGAAACCAGCATCTACCGACTCATAATAATACATAATTCCATTCCATTCAGGGGATGAGGATTGATCGCCATCCTCTCTCCTACATAATCACCCCTGAAGCCGAAGTTCCGGAGTATATCTCCAATTTTATATTTCTTCACCTTAGCAGCCTTCTTACCGATCATATTATAAAAAGATGGTAGTGGGAAATGATGGCCTTTCCACAGAGAAAATCACTCAAAGGTAGTTGTAGGTTAATTGACCAGTGAACACTAGTACACATGGGGGAATATAAATTGTAGTAATGATAGGTAATAGTAGTAGTAGGTGACTTGTAGTTGATGATATTGATAATAAATTGATCATCAACATCATCATCATGATGATGATTATCCTTGAGGATTGTTATGTCCATCATGATCGGTATGATGTCTTGCTATAGCCTACTAAAGATAAGATGATTGTAGTCATAATGATGGACATGTTACTACTATTGCTGCCACTACTCAATAAATCAGCAATAACATCGAATACGCAATATTGGGTCCTGATAGTGGAATCAATAATAGATAATGATAGTAGATATATACCTACCGACTCTCTATAGTTACTCCTGTTACAGGATCAGTACGCTGTATCCAGGCAAATACCTAGTACTATATCCTATGATCACTACTACTACCACTACTACTACCTTATATGTACCAGGCATAGAGAATACCAGATTAGCATCAGGTTGATCCTCCACAGATCTATACCCTATCATAGTTGGTGCCATTACATATCCATATTCAAATGGTCTGCTACTAATATATAATACTACAGCATTCATTCTATCAGCATTACCTTTTAGGCCTTGGTGGTATCCTACCTTGTATAACAGGACCACCATCTTCATGTAGTATACCAGCTGGTGCCATCTCAAATCTATAACTATTAATATGATGATTATTGATTATGATGGTGATATTACGTCCATCGTAATACATCTCCTGGTTGAGCAGTAATAGGCTGCATCCTTAATAATACACTAGCACCACCCATCCTAGCGGAGAACTTACCTCCACCTGGTACTATGGCAGGGGGTAATACAATACCAGATGACTAAGAGAATACAGGAATATACATATCAAAGGAGGATAATAATACTCTTTACTACCTCAATCATAGGAAATAGAAGAGGAGGAGGATGAATCCAATAATAATAAAAAATCAGGAATAATGACAGGTTCGGGAATCGAACCGGGGATCTTCAATCTGCGTCGTTGGTTATGATAAAATGGTACACAATGATGACGGCATCACCACGTAATGATATATATTAGTAGTATTTTATGGGCAAGGTGTTATGCTCAACATCCCTCCCTATTAGTAGTAGGACAGAAGGTTATTAATGAGGACTACATTTATCGACGACCACAAGAGGACTAGTGCTGACAAGGAGAAGGTAGTAGGAGTATTATAAAGATAGTAGTAGTAGTAGTAGTAGTAGTGGTAGTAGTAGTAGTAGTGGTAGGATTCATAATGTCCATCTTAGACCTCCTCAGTGAAGAGTACGAGCAGCTCACCATTATTAACCACTGCACAAGAAGAAGAAGAAGAAGGAGAAGAATATACTGAGTATGATAGAGTGTATGGTACACATATAGGTAGTATGGTAAGCCTTTATATATGGTAGTACTGCTCGGACAGATAGTACTCTGGTTATATCTCATGGTACTATTCAAAAACGATCAACCTCATCATCATCATCAGCTAATAGCCTTACTGCGATGTAATATAGGGTGGTGCTACAATACTACCAAGAGTAGTAGTAGTAGTCTATTGTATGATCGTAGATAGAAGTATATCCTTCTTTATACTACCAAGAGTAGTAGTAGTCTATTGTATGGTCGTAGATAGAAGTATATCCTTCTTTATACTACCAAGAGTAGTAGTAGTCTATTGTATGATCGTAGATAGAAGTATATCCTTCTTTATACTACCAAGAGTAGTAGTAGTCTATTGTATGGTCGTAGATAGAAGTATATCCTTCTTTATACTACCAAGAGTAGTAGTAGTCTATTGTATGATCGTAGATAGAAGTATATCCTTCTTTATACTACCAAGGGTAGTAGTAGTAGTCTATTGTATGGTCGTAGATAGAAGTATATCCTTCTTTATACTACCAAGAGTAGTAGTAGTCTATTGTATGATCGTAGATAGAAGTATATCCTTCTTTATACTACCAAGAGTAGTAGTAGTCTATTGTATGATCGTAGATAGAAGTATATCCTTCTTTATACTACCAAGAGTAGTAGTAGTCTATTGTATGATCGTAGATAGAAGTATATCCTTCTTTATACTACCAAGAGTAGTAGTAGTAGTAGTAGTAGTAGTAGTGTATTGTATGGTCGTAGATAGAAGTATATCCTTCTTTATACTACCAAGAGTAGTAGTAGTCTATTGTATGGTCGTAGATAGAAGTATATCCTTCTTTATACTACCAAGAGTAGTAGTAGTCTATTGTATGGTCGTAGATAGAAGTATATCCTTCTTTATACTACCAAGGGTAGTAGTAGTAGTCTATTGTATGATCGTAGATAGAAGTATATCCTTCTTTATACTACCAAGAGTAGTAGTAGTCTATTGTATGATCGTAGATAGAAGTATATCCTTCTTTATACTACCAAGAGTAGTAGTAGTCTATTGTATGATCGTAGATAGAAGTATATCCTTCTTTATACTACCAAGAGTAGTAGTAGTCTATTGTATGATCGTAGATAGAAGTATATCCTTCTTTATACTACCAAGAGTAGTAGTAGTCTATTGTATGATCGTAGATAGAAGTATATCCTTCTTTATACTACCAAGAGTAGTAGTAGTCTATTGTATGATCGTAGATAGAAGTATATCCTTCTTTATACTACCAAGAGTAGTAGTAGTCTATTGTATGATCGTAGATAGAAGTATATCCTTCTTTATACTACCAAGAGTAGTAGTAGTCTATTGTATGATCGTAGATAGAAGTATATCCTTCTTTATACTACCAAGAGTAGTAGTAGTCTATTGTATGATCGTAGATAGAAGTATATCCTTCTTTATACTACCAAGAGTAGTAGTAGTCTATTGTATGATCGTAGATAGAAGTATATCCTTCTTTATACTACCAAGAGTAGTAGTAGTCTATTGTATGATCGTAGATAGAAGTATATCCTTCTTTATACTACCAAGAGTAGTAGTAGTCTATTGTATGATCGTAGATAGAAGTATATCCTTCTTTATACTACCAAGAGTAGTAGTAGTGTATTGTATGATCGTAAATAGAAGTATATCCTTCTTTATACTACCAAGGGTAGTAGTAGTAGTAGTAGTAGTGTATTGTATGGTCGTAGATAGAAGTATATCCTTCTTTATACTACCAAGGGTAGTTTGGTTTGGTTTGGTTTGGTCTGGGAGCACGGCATCTCCTGTATACACAGTATGGCCGTATTGCTCTTGCGTCCTGCGAGGACGCTCAGTGCCATAACGGCACCGCAAGTTCGTTACCGATGCTTGGCGGCTTGGGAGGTAGTGCTCCAGGCCGGTGCACTCGCCCTCAAGAATTTCCTCAGTGAGTGGAGACCACTCTCTCGTGCTGTCGTCAAGGCCCCACGGATCAGGGTGAGCCCGCGTTGCGGTCTCTCTCCTGCTAGTGCTGACAGGAGTGGATCCACGCCCCAGATTTTCTTTCTGAGTGTACACATCTTCCTCGAAGGACACCAGAAGAAGTGTGGTAGGTCTTCTTTATGAGACCGACAGTAGCGACATTTCCAATCCGTGATATCGGCGGAAAGGTGTCGAAGATAGCCCTTCGTGCTGCTGTGGAAGGTGAGGAGTTCGAACAAACGCCGCCGATCCCCGATCTTCCATCCGATACATCTTTTTACTATAGAAGAGAGTTGTTTTCGGCCAAAACCGAGACCGAGCCTGTTCACAGCTAACTGCCCTCTCTGACACCTCCACTTCTCCTCCATGTGCACATGAGAGAAGTGTATCAGCTGTGCTTTTGTGAAAGATGCTGGTCTTTCGACTTCATAATAGATAGTATCGGGTCCGTTCCGGGCCCCACGTCCTGCGTGCAGGTCACTTAGTTCATTTAGCCAATGGCCAGCATGACCACGGACCCACCACAAACAGATTCGATATCCCTCCGTATCCTGACCTACCCAACGATGAATCAGGCTCGCCACGTCCTGGGTCAGTTTGGTAGAAGCGGGGCCATTATGACGAAGAGCATTGGCCACAGACTTGATCGCTGCTTGAGAATCGCAGCATAAATAGATGATCTTCCGAGGATCGCCCTCAGCACGCAGCTCTAGAGCCCATGAAACCGCAGCCCATAGACCAACCACTTCGCACTGCGAGATGTTTGCGTGAGGTCCTGTGTTGTAACAGCGTCCCTCATACTCAGGCCGATGTCCCGGCACATGCCTGACGACTCCAGATCCCGTTCTTGCCGACACATTTCCCTTGTCAGTGACGGAGCCATCAGTGAAGAAGAAGTGGGCGGAATCGTCGAGAGATGGGGGCACTCCAGAACTCAGTTCACAGTGCCACCCATGAGTCAGGCCTGCAGTTTGCGAATAACCCGTTGATCGTGGAACTTCAGCACGCGAGCAGTCATCTATACCCCATTTAGAGAGCACCGCTCGGACTCTCCGGTCTTCGGCGTGTCCAACCTTGTGCAGGTGGTATGTGGCGTATCGAATCCTCGCTTGAATCCAGAGTGGCTCTGTGACCATAGCCAAGCAACGCGCAGCGAGTACAGTCGAGGTGGAGCGGCTCAGTCCACAGATGGATCGGAATAGCGTCGCCTCCAAGCGAGAGCAGCGCTTTCGGAACCATTCAAACGACGAGCACTCGCCCCACAGCTCTGCCGCATATAGAAGAGTTGGGGCAATATGCATACGCCAGGCGCAGAGCGCTAAGCTAGGCGATATGCCCCAGTATTTTCCCAGCATCCTGCGAACTGTGCTCAAGCATCTCAAGGCTTTACCGAAGGCGAAGTCCAGGTGACTGCGCCAGGAGAGAGATGCCGTGATCACCAGTCCCAGCCATCTGATGGACCTCTTAATGCTCTCGCTGATGAATTGAGCGTCAGTACCGGCTAGCTCTTCTTTCAGCAGATCAGCCGTCGCATCAGAGTCGGCGAGTGCTTCTGTTTTCTCACGGTCGATCGCGAGTTCTGCCTCGGTCGACCACGCAGAAAGAGTACCCAGAGACTGTCTCACACCAGCGGAGAGTCCAATCACACCGAGAGCAACAATCCGTACGCAGAAATCATCCGCATAGATAGCCACTTTGATAGAGAAGGGACCACTGAGATCTGTGATCCGTCTTCCGACTCGCCACGTCGATGCCGAGAAGCACACGGGCGAGAGCACCCCGCCTTGGGGAATTCCCGTTGCTCGGTAGGTTGTGAGACCATCGAGATGTACATCTCCGCCATGCAAGTAAGATTGCACGAGATCTCCCCATTGCGAAATTCCCGTGATGGCAGTGATCTCTGCTACGATATGAGCATGACCAATTCGGTCGAAAGCCGCAGCGACATCGAACGTGACGGTTATGGTGCGTGCCTCCTCAGGTTGTTGCTGCTGATGACGGATGATCGACTGCACGGCAGTGATAGTGCTGCGGTGAGGACGAGTCATGTACGTATCAGGAGGAGGCCCGAGCGCGTCAGGAGTCTCCGTTTCAGTAGTAGCTCGAAAAACTTACCCAGACATGATGTCAGTGCTACCGGTCGCCACGCTTTTGGACCAAGTCGCCCATTAGCTTTATACAGCATGCAAAGGTCCGCACGTTTGAACACCGTCGGGTAATGTGTCAATCTGAGTATCGAGTTGAAAACTCCTTTTACCGCATCGCTGAACCAGGGCACATTCTGGCATGCGTACTTCACATGTTCATAGAAGATGCCATCGTGACCGCAGGCCTTACGAGTTTTGAGGCTGCGTATAGCTGTCTCTAGTTCTTCGTTCGCTAAGGGGCCTCCCAGAGCCTTCCAGTTCCTGTCACAGTCAGCTGCCGAGTAGTCTTTCTCCTCGTGTCCGAGCGGTGGGGGACGCTCCCGCAAGCCGAAAAAGTGATCGAGGATCTCGGCTTTATTGTAAGCGGCCACGGTTGGCGTGCGGGTTTTGAAACGTCTGTGGACCCCCACCTCATCCATTTTGCTGAATTCCATCTCTAGATGGTTCACCTTTGCCTGCTTGATAGCGTTAAAATATGCTCGCTTGGCCCGACGCATAGTTTCTTTGGCATCGATCGAACCAGCCTCAGGTGAGCAGTGACGACTGGCGTCACGGATAACTCTCCGTGACTGGCGGTATTCTCGACGGAGTCTGTCAAGGTTTTTACACCACCAGACCGGCTTCCCAGCAGCACCGCTCCGACCTCGGGCAGTCGAAGCCCGGGTTGACCGTTTGATTGCAGTAGACAAGTTGTCGGTGAGGGTAGAAGCTGCTTCATCCAGCTCTGAAACCGTGCTCGTCATGCCGAGAACGATTGAGCACTCATTCAGCGTTCTTGAGAAGGTCTCCCAATTTGTGCGTGAGGGGTATCTCTTTGGAACAGCGAGAGGTTTATTAACGAGTGCCTGGTCACCACAGGATAACGTGACGATGAGGCATGCATGATCGCCACACGTGGGAGCATAGGCGAAACAGTAGTTTGATGCCTTCTTGCATGCAAGTAGATCAATGTAGGACTCTCCAAGCGTACTGCTGTAGGTTGGGGCAGGTGGGATGAAAGCATCGAAGCCTTCTTGTAAAATAAGGTCTTCGAAAGGCCGTCCACGGATGATACGGTTATCACTTCTCGGAAGGGAGCGACGTGACCATAAGTGCGAATGCGAGTTTGTATCCCCGCCAAGCACAGTAATACAATTATTACGACCCAATTCTAGAAGATGTCTGCAAACTATGTTGCTATCTTGTAGTTTGTCGGCGTAGAATGAAATGAGACGTAGCGGTACGACGGTGCCATCCTTATCGGAAGTACCAATGTCAACCGAGACCACATCGGGTTTCTCATCGGTTGAGATGATGCATAGCGAACGCGGGACCAGAATCACTGCCCGTGACCATTCTCTGGCTCCTGGGAGAGCGTCAGGATTGCAGTTGGCCTTGATCGCGATCATATCTCGAAAGAAGGCTCCGATTTTGT